CCCACCTGACCAACATAGGGAAACCCTGTCTCTACTAAAAATACAAAAATTAGCCGGGCGTGGTGGAAGGCACCTGTAATCCCAGCTACTTGGGAGGCTGAGACATGAGAATAGCTTGAACCCAGGAGGCGGAGGTTGCAGTGAGCCGAGATCGTGCCATTGCACTCCAGCCTGGGAGACAGAACGAGATTCCATCTCAAAAAAAAAAAAAAAGAAAAAAGAAACAACTACCTAGTGATGTAGTTTAAAAAAAAAAAATTGTTTTAAAGTAGCATTTTTTAAAAATTGGACTCTATCTAGAACCCTAATATAAAACTGATTTAAAACCACCATGTTATCACAGTAGAAGGGTTAGAAATGTGGCTCCTTGCATGTTTGGCCTTCTCCATCCCTTGTGGCAGTGTGAGGCCCCTCTTCAGAGCCCTAGAATTCTGTGGAAACATTCTAATAAACCACCCTCACATTTTATAGAGCAAGAAACAGATTAGAGAAGGGATGTGATTGGCTGCATGTCACTTAACTGGTTAAGAGCCAGAGCCAGGACTAGAACACATTCGCCTGAGACCTTTCTTGTGGTTAGAGGTGTGCAGGTGCTTCAGTATTGGGGTGTGGCTGTCATAAACAGACTGCAGTCTTGTAGGGGTCAGACAGGAGAGGTAAGAGGATAAAATGTAAGCGCTGCTGAGGCCTACTAGGGACCAGGTCGACTGTAGAGTGGGGCCTATATCCAGAGGCTTGAGTCCTATCTCTGTCCCTCTTCAGGGTGGTGTACCATGAGCTGGTGCTGACCACCAAGGAATACATGCGTGAAGTTACCACCATCGACCCTCGGTGGCTTGTGGAGTTTGCCCCAGCCTTCTTCAAGGTCTCAGACCCAACTAAGCTAAGCAAACAGAAGAAGCAACAGCGTCTTGAACCCTTGTACAACCGCTATGAGGAACCCAACGCCTGGAGAATATCCCGGGCCTTCCGACGGCGCTGAAAGGCGAGCTTGTTCATTTGCCTGTCCAGCAGCAGTAACCCGGGGCTTGGACTTATTCTCACTGATGACAGGCTGGTCCTGAGGATACAACTGTCCTGTGACTGACTGTCTTAACTGAGCATTTTCTCAGCTTGACTCATTTCTTCCCTGCTGGTAAAATAGAAACAGGGATTTAAGCCTGACTTTCACAAGAGCCTCCAGCCCCCGTCACCCCAAGTCCTTGGGGCCAGTTGGGAGCTCATATCTAACACAGAAACACATTGCATCAACTTCAAGAAAGGGACAATTTGTGTAGCCCCAGGATGGGAAAGGGGAGTGGGTGAGCATCTTGTGCAGGGACACGGTGAGGGCCCTGATGCCCCAGCTAATAGGAGCTACTGTGCTCATCTAAAGTGTTTGCCCCACTTCCCACCCCCTCTCCAGCCCCTGTACTTTGGCTTGACCTCCTGGAAATATTTATTTTCTTAAGGAAACAAAAATGGTTTTCTGTGACTGTTCCTTTTAGCTGAAAGGTTAGGATATTGGCCTGAGCTCAGGGTGAGGGAGATTTAGTATCTGTGCTCTGGTGCACATGATGAGAGCCCCCTGAATCCCCTAAAACCAGAGCGCAGGGCCTCTTTGCGCCCAGAACATACAGCCCAGACCTCCAGCCTTGTCTTTCAGCATCAGCACTAGCCGGGCCATGCTGGGGGATCGCCCCATGATTAACCATGTCCTCTCCACAGAGCACTTCAGTCTGGAGTCCTGAGTGGTTACAGATGGCACATATTAAATGCAGAAGGTTTCCCCTTGCTCCCTCCACCTCCTACCACATTCACAATGTGCAGCATGTCCCATTTGCTTTTGAAACATACTAAGTAACAACACAGCTTTTATTTTATTTTGTTTTTATTTTTCTCCCCTGAGGTCCTGGATGGACTTTAACAAAGGGATTTTATGGTCAAAGCCTCCCTTTCCCCACCCCAAACAGGAAACAAACATAACACCTCTCCTCTCGGCTGGCTTGTGCTGCCCAGTATCTGTGCTCCAGGGTTTGTTCTTAGTGGTTTTTTCCTAGCACTTGGTTGGGGAATGGCCACCTCCTTGTACTCCCCTCACAGCTCCTGAGAAGGTTTTTTTTTTTTTTTTTTTTTTTTTTTGCTTGCCATAGAGATGGGTTCCCACTATGCTGCCTAGGCTGCTCTCCAATTCCTGGCCTCAAGCAATCCTCCTGCCTCTGCCTCCCAAAGCGCTGGGATTACAGTCGAGAGCCACTGTCCTCGGCACTGAGGAGGCTCCTTACCTGGCGGAACATCAGGCAGGTCTTGCCAGGCCAGGTTGCAGAACTTGTGGAAAGCTGGTCTGGATGTAGTGCTTGTAGAGAAGCCTCTGGGAGATTGGGCACATCCGTTATGGTGCTGCTTCTCCCATCCTTATGTTATTAGTAAGTTCTGAAGTGATGTAAATGCTGGAACTACTATAGAACTGTATGAACTGTATGCCAGACACTAAAAGAGACTATACAACATTCCAGGATATAAAGGAATGTATGTTGTCACTGGGCAGCAAACCACACCCTAAAGACACAATTCAGAAAAAGTCCAGGGAGAGGAATATAGGCCAGGCAATCTGCTGACTGCAGATCCCTGCCCCTTCATTAAGCTGAGTGAGTGCCTCCAGATTCTGTCTGAGTATGCGCCTTCGTAAGCCCAGGCCAACAATCAAGGGGCAGGGCATTGTTGTTTGTTAACCTTGGCCTTCTGGGGAGAGACAGTGCAGGAACTTCCAATGAAACCAAAGGGGAAACGGGGACTGGGCACCCACCTCCCCAATCTTGTTTTGTTTTTGTTGAGACAGGGTCTTGCCATGTCGCCCAGGCTGGCATCAAACTCCTGGGCTCAAGTGATCTTCCTGCCTCAGCCTCCTGAGTAGCTGGGACTACAGGTGCATGCCACCACACTTTATCCCAGTCCTAATTCCAGCCTAAATTTTCCCCATTCAGAAACACTCCCGGATAGGGTGGCCCAGCCTGTCCTGACTGAGTGCCCAGCACTGACAATGTTGGCACCTGGGGAGGGAGGTTTGGGTTTTAAGCTGAGGTTGAAAAGGGATGTTGAATGGGCCAAGGATAAGGGACAGTAGGGTTGGTTATCTTTCTGGCTCAGGTGAGGAAAAAGGATCCCCATTCTGTGGGTGTTCCTTGACCATCTCTACCCTAGAGCTGAGGTCACTTCTCTGCTATGACGACATAGCTGGGTTCTGACCTTTTGACCATCAGGAGAGCAATGGCGGCAGCTGAGCTGAGCCTGATCTGAGGGAGGGGGTGGGGTCCTGTCCAGATGCAGAAGGGGAGCTTGCCTGCTGCTCTCACACAATGGAGTCTTTGTTTCTCTTCCTTAAACCAGTATTTCCCAAGATTGAGTGACAGCCCAGGAGAGGATATGGGTCTCATGCAGAGACCTGGGATCTTCTTGGCCATTAAAGTGTATTATTCCCCCCGACCCAGCGGGAACCAAGCTCAGGAGTTGTCTGCCTCTGCACACGTGCTGAGCGCGCTGTTGTGTATATGGGAGGACCGTCCCTATGGGGCATGTGTGAGCTCCGCTGCTGGGTCAGGCTTCTCGGTCCAGGTTTACTTCATCCCGCCTGGACGTGATTTGGCTTTGACTTTCTCTCCTGCAGCCCAAAGCACTTCCCGTGGTTGCTGTAGCTGTCTCACTGGAGCAGTGTCTCTCCAAGTTTGAGGATTTGAACAAAGAATTGGGACTGGTGACTTGTTAATGAACAGTTCAGAGGGCAGAGAGCAATCATCTCAGCCTGTGGCGGCCTTTCTTCCCCTGGATGCTGCTTCTCAGCTAAATCTCTCTCTCTTCATGTGTGTACTTGGCCCTCTAGGTTTCCACCTGACTTTTATACCTTCCCACCAAGATAGCTTGGCTTTAATGTGGAATTAAATTATATATTTTTAAAACTTGATTTAAAAAATTTCTGTTTCTTGCACTAAATTGTGTCAGTACATTGATGTTTTGTGTTTCTAGGAAGAAGTAATGTTGCCTTTTATTTGTGGGTAGTGGTCAAGGGGCATCCCTTCCTGCAAGGGATCGTCTCAGGTTGGTGCTAGGCCAAGGCTGCTGGCAGTTCAGGCATGAACAGAGTTGGGCTGGCCCAATCTCAGCACAGCTGCAGTTTCTATTTAACAGGAGAGCACCTGTTTTTACCTGAGCGTGTCTCCTGGGCAGCGGTTTACATAGGAGCTGGCTCTAGAACCACTCATTCTGCCCCTCCCACCTCTTGTCATATCTACTCAGTTGTACTTCCTCCATAGGTGTCACCATGTTGTCCACTTTGCCATTTCTACCTACCCCCAAAAAAGTCAGCCTCAGGACTCTGATCTCTCCCAAATTTGGGCAAGGAGAATCTAGTGTTTCCCACTCCCCCGAAGATCTAATCTCCACTGGCCAGAATCCAGGGCCTGCTCTAGCCTCTCTCTGTACCATCTGGCCTGGGAGCCTTTCTCCTTTGCCCCATTCTCCAGACAAACACTCGTCCCCAGCCCCAGCAAAAGTAGCAACCTAGAGCTGAAGTAGGATGGAGGACATACAATTGGGGTCTATGTGGGGCAGCAGGGTCATGGGAACAATTAGGATCACAGAAACCAAAGACCAAAACCCTGTCTGAGGAAGTCCCAGGAGGGAGAGCCTTGCAACTCAGTAGCCCACCTGCCCCACCCGCAGGGGCAGGGAGACTGCTGCCGGAAGCAGGCCCAGAGTGCACAAGGGGGTACCTATCCAGGTTATCAAGTACCCCCTGTCTATTATTTCTGAATTCTCACACAGTAATGCTGGGAGAAGGGAAGGGCAGGTATCATTAAGCCCATTTTTCAGAAGAGAAATAGTCAGGTGAACTGCCTTTTTTCAAATTCACATGGGGATTTAAGTGTCAGGGCCTGGCCCCAAACCAGTCAGCTCTGCTTCAAGGCCAGAGCTCTTTCTACCCCCAGGTCTGTTCCCTCATGGCAGCAAAGAGGACACAGGAGAACTAATGGGAGAAGTGGGGGCCTTTATTAAGGTCTGGCAGATGTGGTGGAGGTGGAAGTGGAAACCCAGGCCTGAGCCTAGGAAAGGGCAGAAGAAAGGCAAAGGGTCCCTTGGAGCAGGAACCCATCCCTCTCTGCTTCTACCCAGCACCCCCCATCCCAGGTTCCTTTCTTCAACCTCCCCCTGCTTCTGGGAACACAGAGCACCAAGAACTGACAAGCCGGGACACTCCAGGGCCATAGCGTGGGGCAGAGTCCAGGCTTCTGTCTCCCCGCAGTGGGAGATCTGGGGAGCTCAGTGAACCTCCTCACCCTCCTGCCAGTGTAAAGTTGGGAAGCGCCTTCTCTGTCCCCCAGAAGAGAACTCTTGTTCTCTGTGGTTGGGGAAAAGGTGTGGGGAGCTTGGACCTAGGAAGAAGATGAGCTGAATTCCTCCAGGGCCCAGGTGAAACCCCCAGGGGAGTTTCTGAGACTCTACCTTTAGACTTGCCATTTCTCCACTTTTCCTTCCCAATGACTCTGGTGAGCAGCTCAGAGTCTGGGCTAGGGCAACTGGTAGGACAGTGGAGATCTGACCCAGAGACATCTGGGTTTCAGATGAAGGTTTCCCCAACACCAAATTCATCTATATGTACACAGGGCAGCACCCACCTGCGGCAGGGGGAACAGCCGCTGGGGGCTAGTATGAGTAGCCACCCTTGGGGCCAAACGGCTGGGCAGGGCCAGCCAGCTCTGGGAGGTAGGCGGGGCTCTCATCCAAGTGAGACAAAGGGACTGTGTCCTCCTCACTGACAGGCCGGTCAAACTCGGCCTTGAGAGCTGGACGCTGATTGTCCGGGAAGGCCAAAGAGAAGAGGGCCTCGGGCTCGCACACAAACTTGTACACGTAACGCTCACCAGCCACCTATGGGGAGAGAGAAGGGCTGGTCAGCCTGGCTAGCCCCCCAGCCTTTGTATGGGGTAAGGTAGGGGAGCAGGGAATGCGGCCCTTCTACCAGTCCAGGCAGATGCTCGGGGCATTTCTCTCCTATGCTGGTTCTCCTGAGAAGCTGACTCTCCCTTCACAGTTCTTATCCCTTTTTCATCTCAACTTCTCCATGCTTGGGCTTCTGAGTTACACTTTTTTGGGAGAGGAGAACCTTGACAATTTCTTGTCCCTCTGACTGATTGATTATCTGATCCTACAAAGTTGCTGAGAACTGCTCCGCTGACCCTCTCCCCCCATCAACTTCTCATGGCCACTGCCCCACCACCACCTTGTCCCTAGACCCACAGCCCCCACCTTCTGCATGATGCCTTTCTCGTAATAGTATCGGAGCGAGCGGCTCAACTTGTCGTAATTCATGGCTGGCCGGTTCTTCTGGATGCCCCAGAGCCTGGCGACCTGGGGACAAAACAGTTTTGGGGTAGAGATGCTACCTCAGCAGAGGAAAAAATGGGGTAAGGTCAGAAAGAGCACTTGAGATTCTTGGTGCAAAGTGCTAAGCTAGCCCTGCAACAAAGCATCAGCCCACAAACTTATGCTTGGCAAGAATTCCGGTTAGGTAAAGCAAGGATCATGGTGGAGGCACGTGCCACCATTTCCCAGGTTCTCCCACCTCCAGGCCCTAAACTTTGGAAAAGAGGGCTGGGGACATCAAAGAGGCCCACCTCCTCAGGCTCAATGAGCTTGAACTCCATTCCCCGGCCTGTCCAGGCAATGAAATGGGCATTTGTTGGGTCATCCAGCAGGGCCACCAGAAATTGCCACAGCTGTAGGGCACCACGGCGCTGGTAGGGTGGCCCCTCTCGAAATGCATTGACCCCTTCCTGCTTGATGTCTCCTGGGGAACACGAAAATAGGAGGTGTGGGGTTTGTGTCTTTTGGTCCCCCAAGCAACCACCTCCCACCCCAGGGATTTCTCCAAGGGGTCTTCCCAGGTACTTTTCTATGGGTCCCACCCTCTTGCAACAATGAAATGTGATGTGACTCCTGCAGGGACACAACATGATAAGACCTTGACCCTCCCATGAACAGTCACTTCTCTGACCTTCAAACTTCTCAGGGACAACGCAGACATCATCTGGGAATGGTCGCAGAGGTTTCTCATAGCCATAGCCTTGTAGAGGAAGTTGGGGGTTGCTCAGATCTAGGGGTTCACCGACGAGACCCCAGAGAGTCCAGAGGGACTCCTGGCCAGGGAGACCCTCCCCAATGGCAGTGCTCCCTCCCCCAACATGGAGGGCTTGGCAGGGGAAGGGGAGCTGCCTTACCCGTGGCCCCGTCACCTGGAGAGGGCCCAGAGAAGCCCTCTGTGTGGAGGTACATTGATGCGCACCCGGTGACATCTGTGGGGGAAGAAAGGGTGATGTGAGGTGGCTTGGGGTGGAGCTAGAGAGCAGGAGAGGAGGAAGTCCTATCCACATTCATGAAGTTCTTCCTTCCAGCCTGCTTCCTGTTCTTTGCCCAAGTTGCCTGCCAACCACAAAATCCCAGGGAAAGTTCACCTAGAGGGAGTGTGACACTGGAACCCCTCCTCAACTTGAGGGCTGGGGCAGAGGCCGTGGAAGGCAGCAGCGGGGGCCGGGCAAGCTGTTCGGCAGGGCCCAAGCTGCCAGGGAGCAGCTGTTTCCTGCGAGTTCAGGGGGAGGAGGGAGGGTGAAATGAACGTCCGGGGAAAGGGTTCGGTGTCCACGCCTAAGACTCCCTCAGAATGGACAAATGTCCGGTCAGCAGGTCAGGTTCCCAGCCTGGGGCGGGGGGGCGGGGGGGAAGCGGGGCGGGGTGTGTGTGTGTGTGTGTGTGTGTGTATGTGTGTCTATGTGACAGAAACTGAGAGCATGCGCCTGCATGAGCCTGGCAAAGAGGCAGTGGGCACTGGGCCTTGTTTTTTCAGGTCTAACAGAGCACATTCCACTTCATTTCATTCCATTCCATAGGATAGGAACCTCCCCACTCCACATCGGGGAGGTGGCTGTGTGAAGCCACCCGTTCAAGTTCCAACCCCTTCCCGCCCTCCCCCCACTCCACTCCCACCTATGAATGAGAAGATGGTGAAACCTGACACCTCCGGGAGCAGGCGGGAGGGTGGGCTCATTCATGCCTCCATTTTGTGAATGGAATTCCTGACTCCATTCAGGAGTAGCTGGGGGGAGGGGCAGGAGTTCAAGGGCATGTAACACAATCCCCTCCGGTCTACAGCCTTTGAAGGTCAGCAGCAAAGAGTGCCTCCCTCTTCCTCTCCCCAGCTCACTGCCAAGCCTGGCTCAGGCTTATGCTCTGGATTTGAGGACAGAAGCACCATCCGGTTCTCAGTTGGACAGCCTGAGGGTTTGTGGTTCATCCCCCTGCCCCTGAACGGTTGTGGGCACCACAAAAAGGGAAATTCTAACATTCTAGCTAGCTCTGGGCTTACTCTAATAAACTCTGGGGCTAGTAATGTAACAAAAGCTAGGAGGAAAGGAAAAAAGGCAGGGTTTTCTGGACCCTTCCTGGGACTGGCCCTCCTTTGGCTCTTGGGGCTTTGAACTATAGCTATTTGCTGAGTGCATCTCACTCCAGTCAACAGCCAGGTGGAACTAGAATTTAAAGGAGTTCCTACTTCCAGTGCCCAGCCTCTGGCCAGGGCAAACATCAACTGGGAGGCTCAAATAGGATGTGTAAACCACGTATTAACCTGTGCTCCTACCAGCCTGACCAACATGATGAAACCTCATCTCTACTAAAAATACAAAAATTAGCTGGGCGTGGTGGTGGGTGCCTGTAACCCCAGCTACTCGGGAAGCTGAGGCATGAGAATCACTTGAATCCAGTGGCACTCCAGCCTGGGCGACAGAGCAGGACTCCGTCTCAAAACAAACAAAACAAAACAACACAACAACAAAAAACCCTGCGCTCCTATTGAGAACTAGCAAGAACCATGAGCCTGGCTAGTTTCAAATTCATGTTTCTCTTCATTCAAATCCCTTTGTATTTTTAAGCCTCTATGGGGATAGGGACCAGACACATCCTATTCATCTTTGTATTTCCCAACTCTGCACACTCATGTTCCTGTCACAGTAGTTTGGTCTTAATAGGTAATTAAAACCTCAAACACCTGTTAAATAGAAATAAATGCCTTAACTTTCCTATTAAGTCACAAGCTACCTGAGGGAAGGCTCTACATCCCCCTTTATTTTAGTTTTATTTTACTTTTTTATAAATAGACACGGGGTCTCACTTTGTTGCCCAGGCTGGCCTTGAACTAATTCCTGGGCTCAAGCGATCCTCCCACTATGGCCTCCTAAAGTATTGGAATTACAGATGACTCACCATGTCCCGGGGTGGGGGTGGGGGCCTTATCTTTTAATCTGAATATAGGTTTGCTCATTGAAAAGTAACAATTTGTCCTGGTGAGGTGGCTCATGCCTATAATTACAGCAGTTTGGGAGGCCGAGGCGGATGGATCACATGAAGTCAGGAGTTCGAGACCATCCTGGCCAACATGGCGAAACCCCGTCTCTACTAAAAATACAAAAATTAGCTGGGCATGGCGGCTGGTGCCTGTAATCCCAGGTACTTGGGAGGCTGAGGCACGAGAATCGCTTGAACCCAGGAGGTGGAGGTTGCAGTGAGCAGAGATCGTACCACTGCACTCTAGCCTGGGCCACAGAGCAGGACCCCATCTAAAAAAAAAAAGAAAGAGAAAAAAATAACAGTTCTTTTGAAATTGTGAAGAAAAAAGTGGGTGGGTGGGTTGGATGTATGAAATGGTAAACAGCAATGTAAAAAACTGGGGAGACATTCTGGGCTTAACTGAATTCTTCACTTGATCACATGCCACCCTGCCCCACCCTAGTCTCTTACCTGAGTCGTAGGCGAAGTCCGTCTGTTCCTGTTTGATCACCACCCCCGCCCCTGGGTACCTGTGCCCGTTGACCCCACCCTGGTCCACAGCTGGCTGGCCCGCCTGTTCATACAGGGGATCATGGTATTCTTGCTTAAAGCTCTGCTGGGGGTAGGGTGGGCAGGGCTCCGACAGCTGGTGTTGGTAGGGGGCTGGAAGGGGTTCCCGGCCCCCTCCCTGAGATGTGAAGGAGTGGCAAATGTCCAGGGGCTGCTGGAAGACGGAGCTGGATGTGGTTGGAGAAGGAAGAGAAGAGAACTTTAAATTAATCCCTCCTGGAGCCTGTTACTCCTAGGCTTTTAGAGTGGGCTCTGGAATTGGGGGTAGGGGGTTGGGGTGTCAGTATCTCTCCCTCTCTATTCCGCCGCCCCCCACCTGCACCACCCCACAGCTCAAGTCTTTATGGAGAACACTCGGGAATTAAAGAAAAAACACCTGGGCCCATGAGCAGTGCGCTTCCCTGTCTCCTTACCTACGTTCCCCAAGGTACCCATGGCCAGGGTGGGGTTGGGAGGTCCCAGAGGATCTCAGGAAATTCCGTTGCTCCGCCCGGGGAAAGGGCTGCAGGGGCGACTGTCCAAGGGCACCAGGGGCAGGGGACTTGATGGCGAGTTGTCTGGGGGGGTCATAGGCACTAGAGTTGAGAAGGAGACAGGGGTGAGGGGGCAGAGAAGCTGGCAAGCATCTTTGAACCCTTCATTCCAAGGAAAGTGAGGTCACAGGGATTACGGGAGAAGGAAGGATAGAGGGGGCTGAGAAGGGAACAGCAGGAGCCACAGACTCAGCCCTAGCCACTTCTTTTCTTTTTTCAGAGACAGTCTCCCTCTGTTGCCCAGGCTGGTCTTGAACCCCTGGGATTCATACAGCGGGGATTTGTTGCTCAGAGCAATGGTTTAGGTGGGACAGTGGGCCTCTTGGTGGAAACAGAATCTGCTCTGGCCTCAGTATATATTCCTGAGGCCCTCTGCTGCGTTTTCCGTCTATTTAGAGGAAATCCTCAGCTGTATCGCTTCCTTACAGGAGCTAGAAAATCCTTTCTGTTGTCTAACTTGCATCTCAGCTGCTACCTCTGCTGCTGGGTGCCCCCTGCCTCCCTCCTCAGGAACCCTTCCCCTACCCTTCACCAGGTCCGGGCTGGGGCTCACCTGGAGTAAAGGCACTGCTCGCCATGGTGGTAGGGGAGTGGCGGCTTCCTGCTGCAGGACAGGGCCGGGTCTGTGCGGGGACTCTGGGGCTCCTTCTTGATCCTGGTGGTGGGGCTGTGGAAAGCTACTGTGGGGATGGAGGGGGCAGAGCAAGGCCAGAGCCTGTCACACAAGCGGCAGGCAGGGCTTCTGATACCTTCTGCACTTTGAAGACCAGCTGGGTGACTGGTACAGCCTCCTTCCCTCTCTGATACAATTTTCTGAGATCCGCAGTGAGACAACAACATTTTAGCTATTTACATTATGTCTAGTTTATACATCAGACTAGTGTCTGATTATTAACCAAAGAAACCATCTAAAGTTCAACATTTAGGCTGGGCACGGTGGCTCACGCCTGTAATCCCAGCACTTTGGGAGGCAGGAGTCCAAGACCAGCCTGGCCAACATGGTGAAACCCCGTCTCTACTAAAAATACAAAAAAAAAAAAAAAATTAGCCGGGCATGGTGGTGGGTGCCTGTAGTCCCAGCTACTCCGGAGGCTGAGGCAAGAAAATTGCTTGAACCCGGGAGGCGGAGATTGCAGCGAGCCAAGATCATGTCACTGCACTCCAGCCTCGGTGACAGAGCGAGACTCCATCTCAAAAACAAAAAACAAAAACATTTAATGCAACCCCAGGCCCCAGAAAACACTTTCAAGGAGTGAGCACCTCCAACTTAGGGCCTGTCGTTTTCCTGAGTGCCCTGGAAAATTCCAAGGGAGCGACATGTTTTTTTTTTTTTTTTTTTTTTGAGACGGAGTCTCGCTCTGTCGCCCAGGCTGGAGTGCAGTGGCCAGATCTCAGCTCACTGCAAGCTCCGCCTCCCGGGTTTACGCCATTCTCCTGCCTCAGCCTCCCGAGTAGCTGGGACTACAGGCGCCCGCCACCTCGCCCGGCTAGTTTTTTGTATTTTTTAGTAGACATGGGGTTTCACCGTGTTAGCCAAGATGGTCTCGATCTCCTGACCTCGTGATCCGCCCGTCTCAGCCTCCCAAAGTGCTGGGATTACAGGGTTGAGCCACCGCGCCCGGCCGACATGTTTTCTTATTTGAGGATATAAAGAATCTTTCTTGGCCGGGTGCAGTGGCTCACGCCTGTAACCCCAGCACTTTGGGAGGCCAAGGCGGGTTGATCATCTGACGTCAGAAGTTCCAGACCAGCCTGACCAACATAGAAAAACTATGTTGGTTTTTCCCTCTACTAAAATACAAAAAAATTAACCGAGCATGGTGGCGCATCCCTATAATCCCAGCTACTCGGGAGGCTGAGGCAGGAGAATTGCTTCAACCTAGGAGGCAGAGGTTGCAGTGAGCCGAGATCGCGCCATTGCACTCCAGCCTAGGCAACAAGAGCGAAACTCCGTCTCAAAAAAAATTAATTGATTAAAAAAAACTTTTTCTCGTTGAGGTTGGATATTGGCCCACTTGAATGTCAGCTGACTAACATTATACACATGTTCCTACTTATCTGTGAAGAACATTGGCCTTTCCTGTGGCCCCTGCTGGGTTCCCAAACTCTGGCCACGTACGTGGCTGAGCAGCAAAGAGTTGGTTCCAAGTCAGTGTGAGTGAGATTCAGTTTTACCTGCAGTCCACTCAAATGCCCTGTTTATAACCAACTATTCTCAGGTGTTTTTGATTCCTTGTGCCTGTTTTGTTTCACAGGTGAAGACAGTTGACAGCAAAGTATCTGACATTAAAGCAGGGTTTCTTTGTTTTTTGATTTTTGTTTTTTTGAGATGGAGCCTCGCTCTGTCGCCCAGGCTGGAGTGCAGTGGCTCAATCTTGCCTCACTGCAACCTCCGCCTCCCAGGTTCAAGCGATTCTTTTGCCTCAGCCTCCTGAGTAGCTGGGATTACAGGTACACACCACGATGCCCGGCTAACTTTTGTATTTTAGTAAAGACGGAATTTCATCATGTTGGCCAGGTTGGTCTCAAACTCCTGACCTCATGTGATCCACCCGCCTCAGCCTCCCAAAGTGCTGGGATTACAGGTGTGAGCCACCTACACCCAGCCTAAAGCAGGGTTTCTCAACAGTGGCACTACTGGCATGTGGGCCAGATAGTGTTTTATTAATATATTGTAAGGAGCTGTCCTGAGCATCATAGGATGCTTTTAGCAGTATCCCTGACCTCTCTATCCACTAGACACCAGTAGCACCCCACCCTCAATCGTGACAACCAAAAATGTCTACAGATATTACTAAATGTCTCTTGGGGGTCAAAATTGTCCCCAGTTTATGAAAGTGACTTAGAACACTAGAACTGGGGCCGGGCACGGTGGCTCATGCCTGTAATCCCAGCAGTTTGGGAGGCCGAGGTGGGCGGATGACAAGGTCAGGAGTTCGAGACCAGCCCGGCCAACATGGTGAAACCCTGTCTCTTCCAAAAATACAAAAATTAGCTGGGTGTGGTGGTGGGCGCCTATAATCCCAGCTACTCCAGAGGCTGAGGCAGGAGAATAGCTTAAACCTGGGAGGCAGAGGTTGCAGTGAGCCGAGATCGTGCCACTACACTCCAGCCTAGGCGACAGAGCAAGACTCTGTCTCGGGGGAGGAAAAAAAAAAAAACACTAGAACTGGACTCTGCTGAACTGGCCCAGGCCCCTCACTTCAGATATAAGGCAATGGAGAACCAGAGGGATAGTGTCTGCTCTAAGGTCACACAGCAAGAACATGGCAAGCCCCAGATTTCAACCAAGGTTTTCATTCCAGTTATTGCCTTGGTCTTTGAGATCAAATCCCAGAATGGGGAGCCCTGACCTTCACCCCCACTGTTTTTTTAGGAGAGAACAAGCTGATCTCCTGTGATTCTCTATTATCGTATGACTCACTTCCTGCCATCCTCCACTCCATATACCCTCTCCCCAGGGACCTCTACTCACGGTTTTCTGAATGGAAATCAGGAACAAACTGCTCATCACTGTCTGGTACCTGAGCTGCAGAAAGAGGTGAGAGGTGAGTTTGGGGCGGGGCCCTAGTTGTCCCCTGGGAGGCTCCATTATTGCAGCCCTGCAGATTAGCAACAGCCAAGAAAGGACCAACAGCCTTTAGACCCAGGGTGTCCACATTATAAGAATAGTCTTGGGCCACACATAAAATACACAAATACACTAACAATAGCTGATGAACTTAAAAAAAAAAAATCACAAATCTCAAACAAATCTCATAATGTTTTAAGAAATTTCATGAGGAATTTGTGTTGGGCCTGGGCCACATTCAAAAGCTACCACAGGCTGCAAGTGGCCCGCAGGCCCACGGGTTGGACAAGCTTGCTTGAGACTAAAGGCTGCTCCACCCTAGGTCCTAGTGCCCTCCAGCTCTGGGCTCCACTAAGACCCAGAAGTGAAGACTTTCCCAGAACCTGTCTGAGCAGATTCCAGTCTTTCTTTTTCTAGATGCTTTGTCTTTATTTCCTCCATTTTTCTGAAGTGAAACAGCCTCGCCCCTCAGAGTTTACAAAACTCTCTTAAAGCTCACAGCAGTCATATCTAGGATGGGCAGACATTATAAGCAGTGGGATCCTGTGGATTTTAGCACATAGGAAGCAGCGGGGCGTGGTGGCTGACGCCTGTAATCCCAGCACTTTGGGAGGTCGAGGCAGGTGGATCACCTGAGGTTAGGAGTTCGAGACCAGCCTGGCCAAAATGGCGAAACCCCTCTTTACTAAAAAGACAAAAATTAGCTGAGCGTGGTGGCGGGTGTCTATTAATCCCAGCTACTCAGGTAGCTGAGACAGAAGAATCACTTGAACCTGGGAGGCAGAGGTTGCAGTGAGCTGAGATTGTGCCACTGCACTCCAGCCTGGGCAACAAGAGTTAAACTCCATCTCAAAAGAAAAATAAAATTAAATAATAAATAAAATCACATGGGGGGTGGCTGGGCGCAGTGGCTCATGCCTGTAATCCCAGCACTTTGGGAGGCTGAGGCAGGAGGATCACTTGAGGTCAGGAGTTTGAGACCAGCCTGGCCAACAAGGTGAAACTCCCATCTCTATTAAAAAAATTAAAAAATTAGCCAGGCGTGGTGGTGGGTGCCTGTAATCTCAGCTACTCGGAAGGCTGAGGCAGGAGAATTGCTTGAACCCAGGAGGCGGAGGTTGCAGTGAGCTGAGATCATGACACTGCACTCCAGCCTGGGCGACAAAGTGAGACTCTGTCCAAAAAAATGAAAAATAAAGGTCGGGCGTGGTGGCTCATGCCTGTAATCCCAGCACTTTGGGAGGCCGAGGTGGGCGGATCACGAGGTCAGGAGAGGGAGACCATCCTGGCTAACACGGTAAAACCCCGTCTCTACTAAAAATACCAAAAAAATTAGCTAGGCATTGTGGTGGGCGCCTGTAGTCCCAGCTACTCCTGAGGCAGCAGTATGCCTGAGGCAGGAGAATGGCGTGAACCCGGGAGGTGGAGCTTGCAGTGAGCTGAGATCGCGCCACTGCACCCCAGCCTGGGCGACAGTGCAAGACTCCATCTCAAAAAAAAAAAAAAAATTAGCTGGACGTGGTGGCACGCCTGTAATCCCAGCTACTCCGGTGGCTGAGGCAGAAGAATAACTTGAACCTGGGTGGTGGAGGTTGCAGTGAGCTGAGATCGCACCACAGCACTCCAGCCTGGCGACAGAGCAAGACTCCATCTCAAAAATAAATAAATAAAATAAAAAAGAAGGATGACAGTGGAAGAGCAGGAGGCTAGTGACTGGGACTGTTGCAGAAGGCAAAGGACACTGGCTGAGTACATAGGTTCCTCATCCCTTTAATGTGCAACTAAGGAGGGGAGAGATTCCCAAGGTTGGAGATCTGAAGAGCTGTCCCAGGGTGCCAGGATGGGTGGAGCTGGGTTTGGGAATAGGCAGGAAAACTGAAATACAGCAGCACCTCATCCATGGCTTCTAACCTGAACATCAAAGTCTGACTTCTAGTTCCTATTCTGGCCTCCCCAGAGGGGGCCTTCTCAGGTGGTTATACAGCTAAGTATCTCCCTTGATCCCGGAGTCTTTGCCCACTTTTGCCTCTCTCTCAAAAATAAATGGATCACAGCAGGAAGTGTAGACACCAAGAAGAACTTCCTGGTATTATTCCAGGAAGAGAGTGGTTCTCGGGTGATGCAGTGGAACCTGTAGCCCAAGGAGGCTGGACTCTCCTTCCCTGGAGACTGCTCTCAGATTGGACAATGGGGAAACGGATTGATAAAATGCCCAGAGAGGTCAAAATGGCTGGTGAGAGGTATGAGATGGCTAGAGAAAACCTCCATAACCTTGGCCTATACAAATACACATCCCATCTCTTTTGCTTCTCTCTAGGCTAAGGCTCCATCATTTCTTATTTGGATTTCACCCACAGCCTCTTACCAGGATAACCTACTTTCACTCTTATCCTCTGTAGTCCCTTGCTCTCCACCTAGCTGTCACAGTGATCTTTTTACAACAGAAATCAAATCATTTCTCTCTGTTATTTAAAGCATGAAACCCAAACGCTTGCCCTTGACCTCCAAGACTCTGCATGACTTGGCCTTGCCTACCTCTCTGACCTGCCTCTCCTTGCCTGTGAGTCTGCGGCGCTCTGGTCTCCTTTCTAGCCCCCAAACCTGCTGAGCTTGTTTATTCACCAGATGCTTTCCTGCCTTCTTCTTTTTTTCCTGGCCATCAGAGTCTTAGCTCACTTTGACATCTCTGGAGAGGCCTTCTCTGACCACCCCTAAACCAAAGTGGTTCCTCCTGGCTCTCCATTGCATCTCTGTTTTGTTTTCTCCCTAGCACATATTTCCACCTGAACATATTATGTTTACCTGTTTATTATCTATCTCCTCCACCAGGAAGTTAAGCTCTGTGAGGGCAAGAGCTTTATCTTTCTTGTCATCTGATGCCCCAGCACCCAGCACAGGGTCAGAGTAGACAGAGTGTTAGAGTAGATGCTCAGTGCATTATTTCTGGACTACATGAATAAACATGCAATACTCGTTTGTCCTCAGGCTGGCAGGAGTCAGCACTGTGGGCCTGGGGGCATGCACTGAAGAGATCCTGACCATCCTAGCCCTTCCCTGCAGCTTCCCCCTCTCCACACACAAGGCAACACTAGAGGCAGGTCCTCTTCAGGAAAGCACATCTCACAGGGGATACTTTAGGTTGTGCTATGTTGCCTGGCAAGAATACTCTTCAACAATTTGCTTGAAATATCAGAGCTGCCAAGTGTTTATAAACATAGGCTTATATTAATAGATAGTTGATTTCCTGACAGAAGCATTACGGAGAGGGAGTTTAAGAATCAGAAGCCACCAGCAGCTAAACGAGAACTTAAGAGGAGTCAACATAATAATACTTTGGTCTGAAGTGACCAGAGATATCAATGAGATGTGAAATCCGATGCAAGAACAAACAGAAACACATAGCCAGCACACATCTTTTCAGGAACACAAACACGGCAAACCATTCCCAAACTGGCCTGATTCAGGAGTCATCAGGGCATTGTTAAAAACACGATTACAGCCAGGTGTGGTGGCTCACACCTGTAATCCCAACACTTTGGGAGGCTGAGGCGGGCAGATGATCTGAGCTCTGGATTTCTACATCAGCCTGGCCAACATGGCGAAACCCCGTCTCTACTAAAAATACAAAAATTAGCCCAGCAAGGTAGCAGGTGCCTGTAATCCCGGCTACTCGGGAGGCTGAGACAGGAGAATCACTTGAACCCGTGAGGTGGAGGTTACAGTGAGCCGAGATCGCACCAATGCACTCCAGCCTGGGCAACAGAGTGAGACCCTGTCTCAATAATAATAATAAAATAAAAACACGATTCCCAGTCCCGTCCTCTGGAGATTCCCATTCCATAGGACTGAGGTGGGGCCCAGGCATCTGCATTTTAAAATCTATCTATTATAAGGAAGTCTCCTCTGTCACCCAGGCTTGAGTGCAGTGGCACAATCGGAGCTCACTGCAGCCTCAAACTCCTGGGCTCAGGTAATCCTCCCACTTCAGCCACCACAACCTTAACAATAGGCACATTTGGGCCGGGCGCGGTGGCTCACGCCACAGCACTTTGGGAGGCTGAGACGGGCGGATCATGAGGTCAGGAGATCGAGACCATCCTGGCTAACACAGTGAAACCCCGTCTCTACTAAAAACACAAAAAATTAGCCGGGTACGGTGGCAGGCACCTGTAGTCCCAGCTACACAGGAAGCTGAGGCAGGAGAATGGCACGAACCCGGGAGGCGGAGCTTGCAGTGAGCTGAGATTGCTCAACTGCACTCCAGCCTGGGCGACAGAGCGAGACTCCGTCTCAAAAAAGAAAAAAAAAAAAAAAAAGGCACATTTGGATAGAGGATAGGAGGCCAAATCTGTCCACCTGCCCAGGGATGCAAAGCCAGGCTTGTCCCTGCTGTGCCCTCTGGTCCATTCTGAGGCAACATCCCCCAAGGTGGCAGGAAGCAGGGGTGATGGTAGCAGAGTGACCAACATTTCCCTCCCTCCTACTAGACAAGAAGAGTCCCAAGGGAAAGGGTGGTGCAGAACTCAGGGGTGGTTGACGCACTCCAGCCCCACCGCTGGGGCCTCATTAACTGCTACTTTCCATTGAGGTAATGGGCTGGGGGTATCTCCTGCTGCCGTCAATGGTGCTGGAGAGCAGAGAGCCCTCAACATCATCCTGCCTTTCTTCTTGCCTCGGGCCTGACAGTTTAACCAGGGGCCCAGCAATCCAGGAGGAGGCTTCCTCCAGCCCACAGACCACACCCCAAAAGAGGTGGTGCCATCCTCTTCCCAGGGCCAGGAGAAATCGGTCCTAGTTCAGCCCCTCCCCCAAACACTGGCCTTCTCCCAAAGGGGTAGGCCAGGGCCCTCAGTCATCCAGAGACTGTCAACAGGATAGAAATAGGAACACTGAGCCTCGCGTTCCTGGAGAGCAGGAGAATTTTTAATTACCATGTTTGGTCTTGAGTGTACACCACTCTATTTATTTGTTAACTTGGCTGAGTCTTGGCTGCCAAGCCAGTGTGCCAGGGTCTGTCCCCAGCTCCATCTTGGTACTAAGATGGAGTTTATCTGTCTGGGGATGAGGCAGATGATTAAGGAGGGGGTGGGAAAAGTGCCAAGACAGCATAATGCTCAGAGAGAGAGAAAGAATTTTAGGGACTCTCCTTTCAAAATGGGGGTCAGTAAAAAAAGAGGAGGGGGTTGGGGGCCTCCCAAGCTGGATTCTGGAAGAATTGAGAGGTTAAAACAGAGACACACTGAAGCCCACCACAGGTTAGCCACCCACACTATATATGCTCCGTCACCCTCTTCCCAGGATCCAGTCATAGGGTGAAGGGGGTAGAGGCATTCTTCAAAGCTTCTGCTCCATTGTGTCACCGCTGTCCCTTACCCTGCCCCCACCCTGGCAGCCTCTGTACTGGAAGAAACCAGTTCTCTAGTTGTGGAGGGGACATATTTGTCCCCAGGAGTCTTCTGGAAAGGGAAGAGACAGAAAGATGGAGAAGGAGGAATTGTAGCTGGGAAAGATTAGGGAGGGGATTAACCTCATCCCTCCCCACAGACATGCCAAAGCACCAGTGTACATGCACTTGAACACATATTCAGGGACGCACACACCCTAAATCCTTTTACTTCACTCTTGTGGCAGCACAACAGCACAGGGTGAAATGTGCCCTCCATGCACGCCCTCCACACATGGGGTCTTTTTTTGGACCTACAAATATGATTGGGAAAGTCAAAGGGCAAAGAGACGGGAGCCCTTGGAGGAGGGTTAGGGAGCAGTGATTCCTGTGAAAAGGGCAGCGCAGATCGATCCCTTCCAGAATCTGATAAAAGCTATGGGTCATTTTCTTCCTAAACAAATCCATACACCTTTATGTATGGTGCACTTCTAGCAATTTTACACACAGTATCAGAGGGATCATGATCCCAGCAACCTATCCACAGAGCTTCTGGGAATCCACAGACCCCAGCCTCACACAAAGGAGTCATGGCCTAGAGTCAATGGCCCTTACTACCAAATAGACAACAAAGTCTTTATCCCCAAAGGTTCAGGGCTCCTAACAAGCCTGGAAAGGAACCTTCAACAAGAAACCAGCACATCTTTTACCATAGCCAGACACATTTTGGGTTCAGCCTGCCTGAGCCTGGGTCTCCTTGTAGCAGCCTGATTGTTTCCCCAACATCTCAACAGATTCCAGGCACCCCCAAATCAGACACGCCCTCCGAGTCTCACATAATTCCCTGCTATCTACAAAAACCCAACCCCAAGGGTATGTGAACTGCCTCCATAAAGCCGCACTCACACTCACCCTTCGACGCACGGACACAGGACACTGAACCTGCAACCACATCGGAATCTCCCTATACCTGCCTGGCTCCAACCTGTGCCTCCTCCAAATGCTAAGTCTTCACAGCCCCACCCACACTAGCTGCTTCTCTCCACACTGGGGGTTTGGAAAAAACCAAACTGAGAGAGGGAGGTTGGGCTCTGGTCCCCATTCCTTCTAATGCGTCCCACCACTGGCAAGTTTCCAAAGAAGCTAGTCCCTCCCTGCCACCCCAAAGCTCCCCATGGGTTGCCGGGGTCACTGACCTGGTGGGAAGAGACAGGAGAGGAGACTGGGGTGGTGCTGGGATGGTGCAGGGGGACAGGGCCCCGGCAGCTGCATCTGTCTCCGCAGAGAAAGTGAGAAGGAGCAATCGGCCTCAGCATCCCCCCCTCAGGCCTGGCCATCCATCGCCAGCTGGGAACCTGAGCTGCTCCCTCAGAAGGAAGGAGAGGGAACCAAGGAGATCCCAGCGCGCCCCCCCACCTCCGCCTTGCAATCCCCACCCCCACCTCCCCACCCACTGAATTTAAATGTACAGGGCAGCAGCATGTAACTCACACACACACACGCACACACACACACACTCTGTCGCTCTCGCACACACACTCACACACTTGCTGTCACACTGCCACTGCCACAGGCATGCCTACCCTATCCAGACCCCTGGCCAAGGGTTGGGACTTCCAAAGTAGAGAGATGAGAGCATTTTCCTCCCCCTCCCATCTCAAACCCAGGCACAGATGGACCAGCTGCTGCCAAAATGCCAACCTCAGCCCACCCCTAGCTCACAGCCCCAGGAGCTGCCCACTGTGGGGACTCTCAGCTGACAGGCAAGGAATGAAGCCCGGTGAGCCAGAGGGAAATCAGGCGCTGGGAAAGGAAGTCTTTAAGAGCCCAAGGAAACTGACACCTCTGCGTTCTTCAGCCCAGCTCTGGAACCTCAGGAGGAGGATGGGGAGACAGGGCAAAGCTCTGCCTGTAAATTGGAGCTGGGCATGCAGGACTTGCAGGGTCAGGGAAGAGGCACACAATACCCACAGAACCCCCAGATCCCTCCAGCACTCACACAGCCATTCAGCCATTAATTCCACAAAAAGTCTTGACTGCTTGCTCTATGCTAGTCATTCTGTCAACATATATATTTTTTAAATATCATAATGGGCAAGACAGACCTAGTCTCACTCCAAGGATCTAGTCACAGGTCATTTTCTTTTTACTCCAAGCTTCTGTGGAGAGTTCCAGGGCAGCTGGATTTGAGCTTTAAAAAAATTACACACCCAGGGTGGAGGGATGAGGACATCCTAAGGAAAAGACCTTAAAAAGACCTCAAAAAAGAAGTTCCTAGTGTTTTGGCTTCTTCATTTTCATAGCATTAAAATAAACCCTAAGATGGGGGTAGTTAACCCTTCCCTGTCAGAGACTGTCTAAACCACCATTTTCCCTCCCACCTGCAGCCCCACCAGCGACACCCTCAGGCCCCACCAAAACGCACCGAAGAATCCAACCAGGAAACCTCCCGAACACACCAACTCCCCATCAGGCCCAGCCAAGGTCCCCACCCCGGCCAGCACACAGGAAGGGGGGAATTTGCCTGGGGGCGGAGGTATTCAAGCGGGATGGAAGAGGGAGGAACACTTGCTATTAGAATTACAATCAAGGCTATTTGGGGAGGGAGCCCTGGGCTCTCCCTGCCAAAGGACTGCCGAAAAGAATTATTTAAACTTTTGTTGTTTTTTTGGCTTGGACAGTAAATTGTTTGGTGCTGGGGGTTGGGAAGAAGAGAAACTCGGGATAAGAATCAATGCTTGGGCAACTCCGGAGGATAGGTGACAAATTAATTGCTGCCCCCCGCCCCCACCAACAACACCCCAACACGCACCTTGGCCTGGCGGCTTCTGCAAAACAAACTTTGCAAATGAAAATTTCAACCAGGAAAATGGGCCTGAGGCCAAGTTCCATTCAAATAAGCAAATACCCCACACAATGGTCTGATTCATCCTCAAGCCTAGTTACACAAGCCTGGCTCAGGGTAGAGAAAATAAATATCAATATAAGTATCCACGCTGGGTGCTGGGGTGAGTAGAGTGGCAAGGGACCTGGGGAAAGGGCCTTGGAGAACTCCTTAAGGCAGGGAAGGGAGAGGAGAAGTGTGGGGCTAGGGTGGAATACCAGGGGCTACGGAGTGTTCCCCTGTCAAGCCTCCCAAAATAGAAAAGGTCACAAAACTACTCACCTTCAGCGAGCCACGTCTCCTGGAAGTGACTTAGATCCTGGAAGAGATCTGAGGGGTAAATAGTGGGATTGGAGGTGAGATGGAGGAGACGGTAAGAGAGAAGGAGCCCTAGCAAGCCCCGGTGACTCCCCTGCCTTGGGAGTAGGGACCAAGAAGAATGACAAAAATCCCTTGGAGGGCGAGCTTTTTGGGGAAACAGGCGGGGGTTCCAGGATCGGCCGTGTGTGTGTGTGTGTGTGGCGGAGGAGGGTCGCGGTTTGTCTCTCTTGCTCTTTACCTTCAGAGTCGAGGGGCGGCAGGGAGCCCGGGTCCATGAGCTTCCCCTGCGGGACCATCAGCGCTTCGCGCAAGCTCCCATTTCCGGGCGATTTCTGCGAGAAGCAGGGAGAATACCCCCGAGTCACCCTGAGGCGCTTAGTCTGGGGGACGAGGTTGGGGTCCTCGGGTGACTCAGGGGCGGGGCAGCCCAGGACTCCGCTGGGACCGCAGGGAGGGGGACTGTGGTGAGAGTAGGGGCTGGGTGCGGGGCGGGGCGGGATTGGAGGCCGGCGCGGCGCTCACGCTGTTGAAGGTGTAGGGCACTTGCTGGTCCAAGTATCCGGCTTTCATCCTCCGCTCCATCCGGCCGCTCCCTCCGGCCGCACGGCCAGGGCCCCAAGCGGGGGCCGAGACCTGGGGGGGAGGGGTCTGCGTTCGCACACCGTCCAGGGAGGGCTGCGATGGGGGCGGGGAGGGGTGGCGGGAGGGGGCAGTCCCAAGGCTCTGGGTCCGACGGCGAAACTTCTCCGACTCACTGGGGCGATGGGGAGGTTTCCGCCTGCCAGGCCGAGCGCCACCACCACTCCCCTCCCGCCAAAGGCTAAAGGAGGTCCCACCTGCTCCCAGGAGCCGGGCTCGCGGTTTCTGCTTTCTGCAGCCCTGCGCTACCCGGGCTCGGTTACATAAGACGTGTGTGTGTGTGTTTGTCTGTGTGTGTGTGCGCGCGCGCGGAGAAGCAGGCGAGGCGCACACCATCGCATGCCCACAACTCCCGCGCCCCCTCCAGCCCCGAATCCCAGAGCTTCCCACCCCCGTCCTGGAATCTGCGGAGGCGGATGGTGAGAGTGAGTGTGGTGTGCGTTGGAGGCGAGGCGGGGAATCACAGACACTCTCCCTCCCTTTCCCTCCCGCAGCCTCACCTGAGGCCGGGGCTTCTGGGCTGGAGCCGCGGGGGGTCCCGAGCATGCCCTGGGGCCCGCACCGAGGGCCGCGGGGCTAGGCCGGAGCAAGGCGGCCCCGGCCCTGGGTCCCCAGCGCACCGACTTGTTTTTCGGGCACCGCAGACAGTTGTGAGCCCGGGGGAGCAGCTGATTGGTGCATTTCCTTCGCTCGGCCTCGTCTCTTCCCCCCCACCCCACCTACCCCGGTTCCCTTTGTTTCATTGACTTTTGTGAATGGAACCCCAGGGCTGGGCACGCCCGCCAATCCGGAGAGTCGTCCGGCCTGGCCGGGGGGCGGAGTTTCCCAGCCGCGGGGGCCAATCAGAATGTAGGGGTTGGCTCCCGGCTTCATTCACTGCTCCGGCTCCCATTCATAAAAAAATAAAACTCGCGGCCGGAGTTTCATTCATAAAGAACCGAGAGAAAAAGAGAAGCCGAGGACCCCGCGGCTTCTCCCCCGTCTCCGCCACGGTCTTGGGTCTGATGCGCCGCGAGCTCCTCCGGCTGGCGTCTGCACATGTCTCTGCATCTGCGTGTACGTGGGAGTATGAACATGTCTGTGTGCGCCCAGGAGGGAGGCGACCGGGCTTGTGTGCCCAGAGGAACAATAATAACTAGCATTTATGAAGCGCTCCGCTTCCACGTGCTCATTTCGTTCCCATAACCCGGCGGAATGGATCGTTTTTATCTTACAGATATTAAAAATGAAAGCTCAGAGAGGGATGGTAACTCGCCTGAGGTCACTTAGCTAGTCAGCACCTCTGGGGTTTAGAACCTCAAATCCCTCACACTCTCCTGTACACCCCTCTGAAGCCATGATTAAATGAGTTAAGCTATGTAACAACTGATACACAGTAGGTGATCAATAAATGTAAACTGGCACAGAAACCAGGCTTTTCCTCAAGGGTCTGTTCTCTGCAGTGCTGTTTTGTGACCCACTTTCTATTGATTGCAGCAGAAACCAGAAGCCCCAGGGTAGATGATTTCTGAAAGTGTAGCTCCCTCTCTGCCATCTTCCCTCTTATCTGAGGATGATCTGGAGGCAGGATGGGTTTCAGTTTTAGCTAAGAAGCTGGTCATAGTCTCTGTCATCTCATCCATTCATCACTTCTTTCAATAAGCATTTATTGTGTCAGATACAGTGCTGGGTTCCAGGCAAGCAGCTATGACCAAGACAGACATCTGAGGGGAGCTGGGGTGCTTGGGCTGTGGCCATGGGGGCACAAAAGACATGAATCCTCAAAGGCCTTTTTTCTGAGACAATTCTGTGTGTCTCCAGCCTATGCACTCCTTTGAGGACAGCCTGATTTTGCCTCCTGCCTGTTTGTGATAAACACAAAAGAATGTTCAAATGCCAGGCCAGCAGGAGTGGCTTCCCAAATTCATCTAACCTAACACCCGCCACTTTACAGATGAGGCAGTCGAGTTTCAGAGAAGGAAATGACACATGTAAGCTCTTTGGGCCTGTCTGGCTAGAACTGGGGCTAAAACATAAAATTGCTGTTTAGCGTTCTTAAGGGCTCATTCCATGAGATCAGCTTGGGCAAATGAAAATAAACTTCCCTTTCTATAGGTGCTACAATATTCTATAAGACTCGTGTCTATTGTCCTCTCCAGGAAGCCTTCCATGATAACCTGAATCAGTTCCTTTTATCCCCATACAACATTCTTAACTCTATCTCTGGTGTGGATGTTTTTCATTCTGCCTCATGGTGTAGACATCCTTATCTATGGAGAGCTCTCCAGAGCTCATTTGCCTCTGTAAGTCCTCCTCAGCCTGTCTGCATGCTTATGAGGGTGGCATGAAATGCTTGTGTAGTGAATAGGTACAATAAAGACCAAACTAATTGATCTTAGCAGGAACCCTGCCCAAGGAAGGAGAAACAAGCCCAAGCAAATCCCAGCTTTGGGTTGGATGGAACCAGTCTGGAGACAAGTGTGAGTTCTGGCCAAGAGAGGTGGAGAGGAGGACAGCGTTCTTCCTGGAAGGCAGTTCTAGTGTGATCTCCATGACAACGAAGAAGAGTCCAGTGGGTCTTTAAGTTGGTACTGGGCCCTTCAGTAGGATGGGGCCTCTCTAGGGGTGCCAGGGCCCCTCTGGTTCTGAGTTTTTTTGTTTTTGTTTTTGAGACAGAGTTTCACTCTTGTTGCCCAGGCTGGAGTGCAAAGGCGCAATCTCAGCTCACTGAAACCTCCACCTCCCAGGTTCAAGCAATTCTCCTGCCTCAGCCTCCCGCGTAGCTGGGATTACAGGTGCCCGCCACCATGCCTGGCTAATTTTTTGTATTTTTAGTAGAGACGGGGTTTCACCATGTTGGTCAGGCTGGTTTCGAACTCCTGACCTCAGGTGATCCACCACCTTGGCCTCCTAAAGTGCTGGGATTAAAGGCATGAGCCACCAAGCCCAGCCTTTTTTTTTTTTTTTTTTTTTTTTTTTAAAGAGAGAAACAGGAGGGTCTCCGTTTGTCACCCAGATTGGAGTACGGTGGTGCCATCATAGCTCACTGTAACCTCAAACTCCTGGCTTCAAGCGATCCTCCCATCTCAGCCTCCCAAGCAGCTGGGACTACAGGCATGCACTATCATGCCTGGCTAATGTGTTTGTTTGTTTGTTTGTTTGTTTGTTTTTGTAGAGACAGGGTCTCACTATGTTGCCCAGGCTGCTGGTTCTGAGTTCTTACATTCTTCTGGAGGACCCCTGGTTCCCTGGTGAGTAAGTGTCCCCTCCACATTCCCAATCCTCCCCAGCCCTGGCAGAGGCTGAGGGGCCTTCCTCCCTCAGGGTAAGAGAAGATACTGCTGCTGTCACTGACCTCTGATTTAATGTCCAGGCTCAGAACAGTGATATTTCCAAGGGGAACACTCGCCTCTTACACCACTGGAAGTAGTTGGGGAGGAGGGAATAGAGGGGCTGGAATTTCTATTGGGAATTGAGTCACAATAACTGACATGTACTGAGCCATGCCCTGCTGTAAGTGCATGACCTACATTAACTAAGGCAACCTCATAACGATCCTGTGAGGTAAGTATTAGGATTTTCATTCCCATTTTACAAATGAGGAAACAGAGCCCTCACAAACACACATCTACCCCAAGGGCTCCCACAACAGACTGAGGACACCCCAAACAGACTCACAGGCATGCAAACACCTTGAAGGACCACATAACGGGCCAGATGGAGCCCACCCCTGAGCCAGAGATACACAGGAACACTCTGGGATGCAGGACGCTCACATTCCCCTCCTGGACACACAGCTTCACGGACACATGCAGCGTACTCCCTGACACCCTCCAACACAACTTTGGTGGGGGTTGCACAGGTAAATGCTTCTTTCCCGGCTATGCTAGTAGACTGGGGGCTGAACTCTGACCTGTTTCCCAGAAGCCTAAGTTATAAAATGTAAATGTGAGGCTTTGATATGCAAATGTTCATATAAAGGCAGGCTATGGCTTGCTCAGGAGGCTGGAAGATCAGAGCACTGTGATGAGTAGGGAGAGGAAGCTATTGTATTCACCTGGATCCGATATCAAGGTGGCTCAGGAGCCATCAGAGAAGCAGGCTTTCCCCAGGGCAGGTTTCAAAGAATGAGCGGCATAGGGCTGGATTTGGTTCTCTGGGTTGGGTTAGCTGGGGACATCATGTGGGTGACCTATGCCATGTGTCTGTGAGAGGAGGATGGAAGTATCCTCAAGGCCTGGCTTCCTCATGGTCTGGAAGAGTTGAGTTCCAGAGCCTTAAAGGGTGGAACCC